GAGGGGTGCCAGGTGGGCAGGGCGCTCACATCCAGCCTGGCCACTCCCGGGAAAGGAGTGGCGCCTCGGCGTCTCCCCGACTCTCCTTCTGCACACTTTGACAAACAGGACACTTGGCTTTTAAAATCTGAGCAAAGTAAATGACCCAGGCAGCTATCGTGAGCACAGGGGTCCACACCGTGTATGTACAGTCACCGGGTCCCTCTCCCCAGAGCAGGGGTGACAGCAAGGTCGTGTTCCAGGGTGGCCGCAGGGGAGGAGCCAGCCAGTGGACCCCTGTGCAGAGACGGGACAGACTGGAACCTCACCACGAGGATCTCTGCTGTTCTCACAGGACGCAGGACGCAGGACGCAGGACGCAGGGCGAGCCCTCGACGGGGCGTGGGGCGGTGAGAAGTCAGAGGTGGAGCCTCGCGCTGCGTTCTCAGTAGAGGTGGGGGTGGGAGTGGCCCTCTTTCTCTGGAAACGTCAATCTCCCTCCTCTGTCTCCCTGTGGCAAGAGGACTGCCCTGGTCATCCGTGGGCTCCGTTTACACCAGGAGCCAATGGCGCAGCTGCAAGGAGGACATCTGGTCAGAAGCAGGTGGCAGCCCTGGGCCCAAGCAGCTCCTGGGCCCCACCCGCTGGCTCAGGGCCGCCCCTGCCAGCCACCTGCCCACGGGAGCCAGCGGGGTGCAGGATCAACACTGTTCCCAGGGCCTGCTTTGAACCTGCGACTCAGCGGCAAAGCCAGGGCCAGGCCTGGCGGGGGAGGCCACAGCAGCCTCTGGGCACATTAGAGACAGCAGCTGGGGTGGGGAGATGCTGGCCTCAGAAATGTGACCTCCCGCAACCTGTGAGTGACCCAGTGGTGTCCCTCCCCGGCACCCAGCACTTCCCTGGGGCCCTACTCCTCCATCCCAGTGAAGCCCTGTGCTCTGCTACCAGCCTGGCCGTGTGACCCGCCACGTGGGGAGCGGGCCTCCTGGTGGCCCCAGGTGGAGGACACTTGGGGGTGACTGTGGCACTGCAGCCGCTGCCATCGCTGTTACCGTGCAGCTACTAGTTTGGCTGTTTCTGAGTGAGAGCCGGTTGGTGACATGATGGCCAGAACGCTGTTTTTAAATATTCTCTGAGCAAAAGCTTGGTGGCTTGTTTCTGACCCCACGGTACCAGAGGGGGGAAGCGGGAACTGGCCCTCTGGCCATGGAGGGCCTCTCTGTCCCTTCCACTGGGAACCCTGAGGGGTCACCTCTGCTGGGTCAGGACACACCACACGTAGTGGGGGGTGGGGGGCTGCGGGGGCTTCAGAGACGCTGGAGGGCATCAGGTGCAGGTGGCCCAAGGACATGGACCCGTAGCGGGGCGTGGGCTGGGCTGCGGGCCTGGGGCAGCTGCAGGTGACGCCAACATAGGTACTGTCCAGGTGTGTCATGGAGCCCAGGGATGGTAGTGGTGGCAGGACCTGACTGGGGTCACAGCCAGGAGGGCCCAGTGGCCAGAGTCCAGCACAGCAGCTCTGGGTGGCACTCCCTTCAGATCACGAGGAGGGACGTTGCTCTTGGACCAACCGTGGGACTCACCTCAGTGAGAGTGGCCCTCTCTCCTTGCCACCTCCAAAAGCAGAGTGACCCTCTCTGGAGGGAGGGGCATTGGGGGTGACTCTCGAGTTCCCACAGACTGTGGTCAGGCCACAGACTTGCAGATAAAAAGGCCAGAAATAGGAGGCAGGCCAACTCTGAGAGGGGGTCGGCAGGAATCAGAGGTCAGCAGAGCCAAGGACCAGAGTCTGCAGGGTCAGATGACAGGACAGCTCCAGGCGGTCGGGTGTCCCAAAGAGGGACAGAGGCCCATGACAACATGCTCACTGCACAAGAAGCAGGCAGGCCAAGCGCAGCCACAGAGCTGAGCCGGAGGTAGCTGCCAGTCAAGGGTGCACGCAGGGCATGCTGGCTTGTCAGCGCAGCAGGTCACACGTGTGGCCACGAGGGTCCTCCCAGAGCCACAGGCACATGACTTCTAGCCGAGGTAGACTCAGGGCCAAGTCTCCCCTCCCACCTGAAATGCCCTCAGAGTGAATGGCACACACACACCAATGGCTTGGAGACCTGGAGTCAGATGGCCAAGGTCGGGGTTGTCCCCATGCCAGGGCCAGCAAGCAGCTGTCCAGTGCATCCTGCCTGCTGCCTGGAGGGACCTTGTGGACTGTGGTGCAGGGAACGGGAGGCCAGGTGGAGCCCTCAGGGCTGCCTCTGTGGGGGCCCACAGCACTGAGCTTGCAGGCGCCTGAGAGGTGACTGCACAGGGGTGCCCAGGCTGGACCCAGCACCCACAGTGCACGCAGAAGTGGGGAGAGCCTCTGATGCGCTGCAGGGAGCCACCTGAGGCTGGGCAGGGCTGTAAGCCTCACGGCGGCCGGGCCCTGGGCGGGAGAGCTCAGGGTGGCTGGCTAGACAAGCTCTGGTCGACCTGTTTCCAAGTACCTAAGTTCAAGAAAATCTACAGGAATGCAAACTCAGCATCTAGCAAGGAAAACCACAGCGTCCAGGGACCATCTGGACCCGACCCAACACGCAAAGAGGCAGAATAGAACCTCAGTGAGAAAAGCCACAGCAAATCTGACCCAGGATAGACACATGTGCAAACTGCAGGTGCGGACGTCGGGCAGCTGTAACTGCCTGCACGTGTTCAGAAGTAGAGACACAGAAGGCACAAGAAGACCCCAGGGGACCTCACAGAGCCAGGTGAAGGGTGCGTGCCAGAAGGGGTCCGAAGGAGGGCACGGAACTAAGCAGACCAAACCATAGCCAAGCCACTGGCTGGAAGCTCCCTCAGCCACCTGAGGGCACAGGGCGTCCAACCCAAGGCACCCAGAGCACAGCAAGGGAGAGGGGAGTGACCCACAGCGATGCCGTGACTCCAAGTGGCAGATGCTCATGCAGCCACGGGCCCTGGGGGCAGAATGAGAACTGAGTGACGGTGGCTGGCAATGCCCAAACGGGATGCCAGCTACAAACCCCAGCGGCACGGAGAAGGTCCGCGCACCCTGACTGTGCCGGGGGAAAGCAGACCTGGGGTGGAAGCAGAGGGTGCCCCTTCCAGAAGCGAGAAGAACTGCCAGCCAAACACGCTTTGCAGGACCACAGAGATGGCTCCATCTGCCAGGTGCGGTGGCCATGCCCGCCATCCCAGCTGCTCAGGAGGCCGAGGCAGGGCACCAAGTTCCTGGCCAGCCTGGGCACTTAGTGTCTCAAAGTAGAATTAAAATACAAGGGCTGGGGGCCACAGACAAACCCTTTCTACCCACCACCCATCCATCCATCCTCTGTCCATCGATTAGCTACATATTCGGTCATTTATGTCCATCTTCTATCCACCTACCTTCTGTCTTCTATCACCCATCTTTCCTACCTATCATCTATCAGTCACCTGTCCACCCATTATCTATATATCAATTTTGCCTATCCTCCTATCTACAAAACGTCTCGTCTACCTTCAGTCTTCTATCTTTATCCACCTATCTTCTGTCTTTCCATCATCTATCATCTACCTTCCTTCTGTCAATCATCTATCTTTCTACTCATCTTCTGTCATCGACTTACCTCTGTCTGTATCTTCCTATCATCTCTCTACCTTCTATTCCTCCCCTGTCTCCTGTCCCTCTACCACTCTTCTCTCTCCATCATCTCTCCTCTACCTACCTTCTGTCTATCATCCATCCATCTCTCCATCTATCTCTTTCCATGTATCTACCCCTCTACCCACCTACCTTCTGTCACCATCTACCTATGGGATAAACTTATGCAGTGGGAGGGCAGAGGAGGGATTCATGTGGGGCTGAGGCTGTTTGCTCCAAGGACACTGGGAGAGGGTGGGCGACTGGAGGTAATTGCCACCAACACTGAGTTTTTGTGCAGCAGTCTCACAGGGGCTTATTTTGTTCGTGGACAAATAGATAAAAAGTGTCAGTGACAGAAGCCTGCTGTAGGCTTGTGGCTCTGGAGCGGCAGTAAGGAAACTCCAAGTGAGGGTAGGAGGGCCGGAAGGCCTGGGTGGAAGTGGCAGCCTGGGCTGGCTCTGCCCCGTGCTGGTGCTGGGACTGAACCCCGGTGTGTACCACTGAGCCACGCCCCAACCGCTTCCACCTTTCACCTTGAGTCAGGGTCTCGCTGTTGCCCAGGCTGGCCTGGGACACACATCCTCCTGCCCCAGAGTCCCGCCTCCGGGATTACAGGCTTGGCCACTGCACCTGGCCAAAGGCAAGGTTTTAGTGTCGTTGCAAAATTCCCACAAGTGACACCAATCGTGGATCCACAGTTCCTGTTCACATGACATATCCTAAGAGATGTGAAGACCCATCAACAGAAGGCAATAAAGGAGAAAAGTGAACCTTAACCAGGGGACAGGCGGGGTTAAAGGCCCCAGGACAAAGCTCAAGCCTTCAGTGACCACAGCAAACGTCAGTGGGTTAGTCTGCCCAATGGCCAGAGAAAGGAGTTCCAGGGGTGTGCTGGGCTTGCAGAAGAAACCCACGTCTTACTATCCCCGAGGCCGTGAGTGGACAGACTGCCCAAGGAAAACCCAAAGGCACCAGGCACACCATATTCCCCACAGACCAAACGGATGCCACAGCAAAGGCCTCGCTGGGAGAAGACCGCTGGCCAGGAGCTCTGGCCATTCTAAACACAGCTGTACCTTGGAGAAGAGCTTCAGATGGTGAGAGGAAAAGCGTGAGCCCAGGAGAAAGCTGAGCAGATGTGTGTCAAGGAACACACCACAAACGGCTCTTGGTCATTAACTGTCCAGCAGACCTCAAATGGACAGGCTGAAGGCGGCATGGGCCATGTCCACAGCAGCCCAGTCTATTGGGCAGAAGCCGGCTCAGTGCCTTTCACAGGTGTCTGAGCACAGTGTGGTCAATTCAGAAGCAGCCACAGAGAGGAATGGAACACCCCCTAATGTGGGAATTTGAAAGCAATGTGTAAGCCAGTTGTGAGTGAAGGTGGATGGAAAGTAAAATGTGTGTAGAACTAAAGAATAAAACACCTCTGTCAGAGGACGTGGGGTGCAGCAAGTCAGGCATATGGAGGGACATCTGTAGCCTCGAGTGCTTGTTAGAAAAAAAGGAAAGTTGAAAACTAATTATCTAAGTTACAAATTAAGGTAGCGAACCTCAGAAGACCTGGGGGGAGTGGACGGAAGGCGGGGGCACGGCGGGACAGAGCCAGCAGACTGGTCCGCACAGTTGCTCTGGAGCCTGAGAAGTCGCACCAAAGGCCACACACAGGTGACCCCCGCCAGCCCAGGCTCTCACCGGGTGGCAGGGCCGGTGGGACAGGAAGGACGTCCTGTGCAGGTGGGGTGGGAAGCCTGGGTGTGCCTCTTGTGCTCAGAGCAGGAGGTGGTCTGGGGAGGGCCGGAGGCTGACCCTGCACCAGGACCTGCACTAACGGGAGGAGGAACAGGAGGCGCAGCCCCGTGGGGGTCGCCACGCTGGCCAAGTGGCAGTGAGTGTCCCACTGCCTGGCTCAGGTGAGCGTGACTGCCCCCACCCTGGGTTCCCAGGGCCCCTTGTCCCTGGGTGCCGTCCAGGTGACTGAGGCCTGCACACCCCGAGAGCCGACACAGCAGGCTTTTTAGACCAGCGATCTGTGCTGTGGGTGTGTCCCAAACCTTATCGGCAACCGGGTGACTCTCCCTGGGGGTCCCGAAAGCACCCTGAGCACATGGGAGGTCCAGGTGGAGGCCACCCTAGCACCACCCCCCACCGTAGCACACGTACCCCTGCTCACAACGTCCTTGGAAACAGCCCAAGCCTGCGTGTGCTCTGGCCCTCGTCCTCCCCAGCGTGCCCTGCTCCTGCGGGTCTCGCTCCCTAGGCAGTCTCTCTTTGGATGTCTGCTGAAATTCCCGTGGTCGGGAGCCTGCCAGGGCTGGTAAGGTCCCTTCTCCCTTGGGGAACCTTCTTGGACCCCTATCTGGTGACCACTAGATCTGCCCAGGGGACAGTCGCTGCCCTCCCATGGCACAGAGGAGGACACCAGGAGGGAGGGGTGGGGGAAGGGCGGTCACAGGACCCTGCCAGGTGTCCCCTCTGCCTCCACTCTGCTGGGCTCGAACACCCAGCCAGTTGCACCTTTGAGCCCCTCTCATCCTGGGGTCCCGCCACCCTGCATTCAGCTCATGCTGGAGTTCTGGAGTTGGGCCGCTCTCCTGGGGTGGGGAGGGGACAGCTGAGAATGCGCCAGAGCTTGGCCCAGGCCACCTCCCACCTGGTCGTGGGGCGGCAGGCAGGTTCTGGAGCCTCTCTGGGCTTGGTAGGGAGCAGACCTACCTCTGAGGTTGTGGCAGTCACAATCTGCCCCATGCCTATGCTGGGCAGCACTCCTGCCCATGGCACATGTCGGGCGCCTGGTGTGCACAGTGCACCCCGGGCCCCCCAGCATGTGACAGGCACGGGACATGCACCGTGCACCCCGGCCCCCCCCAACAGCATGTGACAGGCACGGGACATGCACAGTGCACCCCGGCCCTCCCACTGCACGTGACATGGGGGGTGATGTGCACATGTGCACCCTGGTCCCCCCACAGCATATGACATGTGGGTGGTGTGCTCACATGTACCCTGGGACCTCCACGGCATGTGACATGTGGGTGGTGTGCTCACATGCACCCTGGGACCTCCACGGCATGTGACATGTGGGTGGTGTGCTCACATGCACCCTGGCTCCCCTGCGGCACATTACAGGAGTGTGGAGTGCTCACACGCACTGTGGCCCCCAAAGCACGTGACGTGGGTGGCATGCTCACATGCACCCTGGCTCCCCACGGCATGTGACAAGACTGTGGTGTGATCACAGGTACCCTGGCCCCCCACAGCATGTGACAGGAGTGTGGTGGGCCCATGTGCATCCCTGCCCCCCACTGCATGTGACAGGAGTGTGGCATGCTCACGTGCACCCCTGTCCCCCACGGCATGTGACAGAGTGTGGCATGCTCACGTGCACCCCTGTCCCCCA